TCCCTTTGGATCACTTTCCACCTAAAAACTAGACCGAAATTAAAATAAATAAAAATAATAAAATAAAATAAATAAAAAAATAATAAAATAAATATTAATAAATGAAGTAAAAAGGGCCAACGAGCCAAAGCTTGGGTGTTGTATCGCTCCAAAATATTTATTAATTTATTATATACAAAATATATACAAAATATATACAAATATATACAAAATAAATATTTATTAATTTCACAATTTCATGACAATTTTAAGAACAAACGTTTCGACCCCGAACGAGTCATTTTCAATGTTACTATAAATTAGTTAATGCCTAACATAAATTAAAACCATTACAATAACTTGCGGTGCAGTCCACTTAATGTTACGAATGCTTCAGATACTTTCGCTTTCATGTGCTTCCAGAAAACGGTCCACTAGCACTTCAAATGTTGCCAACATTACGCTAATGGACCGGCTTAATAATATCATTTCTGTTTGTGTACTGTGTGTAGTATGTGTAATATTTCATAATGGCCGATTCAGAGGAAATAAAAATTATATTAACATGTGTTATAAAGATGTTTTTAGAACCTCTCACGTACATTTATGATGAAGATAATTCAGACATTTTAGAAACTTATCACAAAAGAATTCTAAAAAAAAATCGAATTCCTCGGATAGAAGGTTATGTTGAAAACATAATTTCTTCGCTTAGTGCATTACAATTTAAAAATAATTTTCGGTATTGTTATTGTTATTTTATTTAAACTGCGTTTCGATATTCACTGCCCATATATTGAAAATTTACAACTAGTTTATGTATGCTTTAAATTTACTATACCAATACTGACAGTGAATTTCGTAACATAGCCTTATTTACTATTATATTCATGTTTATCATTCAATCTACATTTGCTTTGTAGAATGCTACCTTCTACGTTTGAGTTTCTATTAGAGGAAATTGGCGAAAAATTAATTCCCACAACTGAAGGCAATGAGATGATACCCGCAGACAAGCAGCTATTGCTAAGTTTATGGCGTTTTGCAACTCCAGACTCATATAGGCAAGTAAAAAGTATAAATATGATATAAAGTAAAAATGTTACTTATTTATTTTTATTTTAGATCAATAATTGAGCGGTTTAATGTAGGCAAAGCAACAGCCATAAGGACTGTGCGCCGTGTTGCAAAAGCACTGTGTGACTTATCGCCAACATACATAGTATGGCCAACAAATAAAAAAATAGAAGCTATCGTTCTTGGATTTGCTTCAAAAAGTGGTTTTCCTGATACCATAGGAGTTATAGACGGTACCCACATATACATTCCTGCACCTATAGAGAATGCAGACGCATACATCAATCGGAAAAAACGTCATTCAATTCAACTCCAGGTAATCCTTAATAATACTGTCCTAATATAAATATTGTATTCAGTTATGCCAGAATCGAAACACGATCCTGTTGAAAAGAAATAGAAGAAATCATACTAAAAAGAAGTCATATCTGTGTGTGTTCAGTGCTATGAGTTTCTTCTCTTTATGAGTATGAGTATTTTATTTTTTACATAGTCACATCTCGATTGTAACATAATTATTTGTATTGTTTACTACAAAATGTTATTGCTTTTGTTCATGCGGACACACTTATTTTATACAAAAATATAATTAAAACTGAACGAAAATTTTATCTAAAATTTTGCTAAGGATTTTTGTTTTGTGCAGGCGGTATGCCATCACACAATGCAGTTCACACATATTTATGTGGGAAACGTGGGATCAGTCCATGATGCTCGAGTTTTTCGATTATCAGCTGTTCAAGATTATATTAATGACCCGACTAAATTTCCTAACAATACGCATATAATTGGAGATGCTGCATATGGGCTCCATCAACATCTATTAGTTCCATATATGGACAATGGACACCTTACAGTACGACAAGAAAATTACAATTATTGCCATTCTTCGACAAGAATGGTGATAGAAAGAGCATTTGGTCTTTTGAAAGGACGCTGGAGAAGTCTTTTACACGTTTTAGCAATCAATCTACTTGATTTTACACCATATCATATACTGGCATGTTGCGTGCTGCATAACATTTGTTTATTACAAAAGGATGAACTAACGATAAACGATGTCATTGTTCTTGATACAGAAGAAGCGGAATTGCAAAGAGAAGACATAATTAGATGTAACGATAGAGTTACTGCAGAAGCTAAAAGACGTAATAGATGCGATAATTTATTTTTAAGAAATCTCATAAATATTGAAAATGAAGATTTTTAAATAATGTACGATACAAATAAAACATTTATAAATCATTTTTATTTTTGGAACATTTTTTACATATACATATGTGTATATAACGTGTATCATCACATTTGTCTGTATCACATTTTTCATTTTAAAATAAAAATATTTTTTTATTTATTTTTAATTAATTTAATACCAACAACAAGTTATTATAAATCTTAAGTCTAAAAAGGAGACATTAATGATAAACGATATCGTTCTTAATGTAGAAGCGGATTTGCAATGAAATAGAATTTGTTGTAATAATTGAATCGTTACAAAATTGACTATTAAAAAAAAAGTAAAATAAGGGTGTCAAGTGTAACCGCGCTCCTTGAAAAAAAACTTGTGTCTAAATTAAATATAATTTTTTTAAGCAATAAAA